ACGGCGTAAATTCTTTGTGAACTTTCCATCATTTTTAATTCTTGGTTTATATCGATTTCTTTTATTGAGAAAGCATTTTTCGGAAAGGATGTGTTGAAGAAAATTTTTCACACTTTCCATACTTTTCCCTTGCTTTCCTTTTCCAGTTTTTTTCCTCATATCTGAGGTCCCCTACTCACTGCAAACTTACATTCATGTCGTTTTTCATTTTCTTAAGTTAGCTATCCCATGTTTTGTCTTCACATAAATTTTTCATGTCTGGCATTCGTCATTTTGACATTCGTCTGGGCACAGTCATTCCTCATTGTTGCAATTTGAATTTCTTTGGCTTTCAACATCCATAGTTTCGACTTCGGCTATTCAGTACATTTTATAACCATTGGATTTGGCCTACAACCTTTTGAAAAACATATCACTGAACTTTTGAATCCGAGCTGTGGAAATTTTACCATATTGGTACTTTCCTTCGGAATCTCTATCAAGTTTTTTCCGTTTCATTACTTTTCCTTGGTCAACAAAGTCATTATGATTGGGAAACTTCCTTGGTTGACGTTTTTGACCCATTTTGCTACTAATAAACCCCATCTCTTTTTCTTTTGACAGTTTTCAATCATTTCATCTCTTTATGGGCTTAAATTCTCCCCCTTTCCCCTCCTCTCCCGCCAATCGTATGGTTTCACCTAGGGCCGCATGCATTAACATCCCCTCCGGGGAGGGGATCGATTAAAAGAAAGTCTCATATCCTGATATCCAGACTGGATTTCACGCTGTCTACCTAATGTAAGTGTTCCCACCATCCTTCACTATGAGCATATCTAACAGGAGCGAGAAGCTGTACATGCCGCATATTCCAGCTTCTTGAATGGTCCGTAATGATCCCCAGAGGCCGACCATCTTTTTTTAGAGTCGTTTTTCTTTCTTCGAAGTTGACGAATACATTTCGGAGTTGTACCGATTATCTAACCTAACCGTGAGCATTTTGCTGATAAGAAGAAATGATGTTTTGGAATCATGAAATTTGCGATGAGCAACAAGTCAAAAGTTGGGGTCTATTGAAAATCCGATATTTCAAAAACTCGTTTGTTTTTATCGGTAACTTGCTTAGCACTGTCAAGTTATACGAACAGTACAACTTGAAAGGTTTTCGTCAAATTCGGAGAAGGAAAAATGATTTTGAAGAAAAGACGGTCGGCCACCGCGGATCATCAGGGGATCATACAAAAGCTGGAAAATGCGGCTTGCACAGCTTCTCGCTCCTGTTTAACATGTTCCATGGTGAAGGAAGGTAGGGACACTTACGGATAGGTAGACGACGTGAAATCCAGATATCTGAAGCTTCAGGATATGAAGCTTTGAGCTGCGAAACCATCCCGGCGGGGATATTAATGCATGCGGCCCCTAAATTTTGCTCAGGTTGCTACCACAACATAAATTTCCATGTTTTCTTATTGCTCACTATTGACATCAGTCGTCAGAAAATTACTGAATAGTACGAGCATGCGCATCGTGTTCCTTTTATAGTATGGGTATGGATGTGTTTTCACTTTTTAGTTTCCCAATTCTCGATGGTTTATTAGGCAATCGCGCCGATGATGTATTGTGTTATCACAGCAGGAGGCACTGCGGCATTTCTCTATTGTATATAGTGTTTGTGTTTCACATGGTGACGGGGCGAAGGACTCGTTTCTGGGAGATGGGGTGGGAGGGGGGAGGGGAATTCGTTCTAAGCAGTATCTAAGCAATTCTAGATATCTGAGTTTCTTGGGTGGTCACTGATTGTGGAGGAGGGGGCTCATATGATCTATTCGTGGCCTTACACGTCTTATCCTTTCCGAGAAGATCAGGGTTCCTGAGTACGGTAGTGGGCGAGAATTTAGAAGAATTACAATTTAAAAAAATTTTTTGCGCGGTAAAACGCATATAAATTTTTCTTCTTCTCCTGCTTTCTTACTCAGTTTTCCCTGTTGTTTTGCAATCTCGCATCTCCTAGCGATTCATCCCCTCCCTAGCCGCCCTTCCATGTTTTTCGCCCTCCTCCCATCTCTTCGGACGAGTTTGTTGTGTACGCGCTGGTCATCAGAGCAGTTGACATCGTCGATTCGGCCCTTCGACGGACAACTGACTCTCTGGCGCCTGACTGTTATGATGTTCCCCGTTGGCCATTCGTGGATCTCCGCAGCAAAATCTGGCATATGTCGGACGGCTGCGGCACTTTAGCACCCGGTGTTGTGAACATTATCCTGGCAAATAGCCGTTTTTCTCTGTTCTTCGCGCTATATAGTCCAAACTACAACTTGTTCGATTTTCTTTTGCTATAGTTCTCCAAGGTTAACTCTGCGTTACTCAATAAAATTCCACGTTTTTTCTCGTCATATAGCCTAGTTTCTGAGTATAATTTTAGTACGGACGTACGTTTCTCAGAGAAAGAAGTGAATTTAAGACGTTGATTAAGTGGTTTTTGTCGGTGTCAAAGTAATTAGCTCGGTGGAGTGCTGTTCGAGAGAGGAGGCGCAGCGGACGAGGAACGACTGGGACAGAACGAGTTCATTGAGCTGCTGCTCTCTTCCCGTTTCGGGAAACAAACCACTCGATTCTTCTTCTCTAGTCGAGATGCGACGTGTTCTTTCTTCCGACATCTTCTCTTCCTTACTAAGCTTATTCTTGAACGTTTCAACAAAACTAAATCTTTTTTAAGAGTGCCAAATAGATCTATTAAGAAGGTTCAAAATGTAAACCTTTCACTTCGGCAAATTTACCTTTATTATTCTTTTGAAAGCTATCCAGTCCTGCTCCTTACCTCCTCTACTTCCTGGAATGTATTTTTATTTTCCAAAGTGGCAGTTCTAAAGATAGCAGAAAAGAACGACTTTCTATGCTTCTAAATGAGGAAAACGCTCTTTTCCAAACCCTCTGCGCTTCTGGTTTTTTGCAGACCTCCTAGCGCGTTCCCATTTTCTTTCCGATGTTTTTCTCGCAGTTTTCCCGGAAGACAGAGCTCAGCGCATTTGGATGTAGCTAAAGAAAGATACCAGATATGGCAGAAACTAGCTTTTACTATTTATTTTTTCAAAAATTGGTGGAGTTCACTCAGAATGGGTTCCAAACTTGGCCTTGTGATCGTTTTGTCGTGCTGAATTTCGATAAACTGTGAGTATTCGAGTTTTGCGAGCTTTTTAGGAGTACCTACCAAATTGAAGGTTTCCATTAATCCTACAAAATAAAACCAGTTCTTCTGTGATTCCACTCATTTCCATTTTTTCCTCTTGGCAGCTACATCACTTGTTTATTCTGAAATAAACACTTCAAAGTGAGGAAATCTCGACAAATGTTTATCTGAGTTCTGCTAATTCTTCTAAGTGCTTTCCTTCAACAAAAAAAAAATGTAAACAGTGCGACAATCACCCCCATCATGTAACGCTCTTTCGCTCCATTAGCGATTTCCTCACTCATTCATGGCTCCGTTCAGAACGATGTAGATGCTATCGGCAAAGAGATTACTGTGTGTTCGTGGTGCATGTATGATTATTAATTGACGAATGCACACAATGGGGCAGTTAGGGGGGGGGGGGGGGGCTGGGGAGCAGCACCCGGACAGACAGAGCACAAATGGCTCCCACTCAGGCAATGTGTTCTCGCGCGCTCCGACTCATCCTGAGCCTCTCCGGCTCGCGAACACCCTGGTGCGAGTAGCCTCGTACTTGTCATCGTAGATCTCTCTGTTTACGAGTGCCTCTCGGATAAGATGACCCACTAGTGCTACAAGTGCGCTAATGTGCTGCCTAGTGCCCCGTAAGTGGCTAAGAGATTTATGAGAAGCGCCTGTGAGTTTGTATGATTTGCGAGTGGTAAACGGATTTTGTAAAAATAGTTAGGAGATTAATTTACGAAGCATTCATTAGTTGATTTTTTTGCTGAAAAAAAGTTGCACTCTTTTCTTTTTAAAATATTTTTCATGTTTTTTCTTTTTTTAATAAAATTACTCGTAATTTGTTATGCAACAAATGCAGCAAATTTTAGTCAAATTGTCACTTAAATTCTTTTTTTTTCTTACAAGCACAATTCACTCTTCTACGGATTGATGAGTAGTCACGTGTCGATCACATTGCATATTACCATTTCAGGAAATTCACCTTGAAATCTTATGATTTTTGAGCCTTTTTGAATCTTTCCCATTTCCTCTCATGAGATTCCATCTGTTACTTTACATGCATTTTCTGCAGTATTTCAATTCGCGAAGCAATTCTGAGTGCCAGTTTTCCGGAAAAGGAACAGCTGCTCGGCTTAGAAAGCATTTTGAGCTGTAAAACTATTACTTAGCATTTGAATTTCACGTTGACCTCTTTGACTGTTCGTCGTTTTCTGCCATTGGTTGTCAAGGCCATCATTCGCATTAGTGCTTTGCTTGAGGGATTTTGCATGTGCAAATCGCTCTCATCGTTATTCCCAACTAATTAGTACTAGTTTAAATCTCAGACGATTTTTTGCTGTTGTTTTTCTCTCTGATGGCGAAGTTCATAGAATTATTGGGCGTTTTTTAATAAAGCCACTGGTGTACAAATGAACTACAAAATATCATGAGAATCTTTCATTTTTTGAAGCCATCCTTAATTCCGCATCAATAAATTCCGAATGGTTTATTTTTATGATAACGTTATTTTTATCTGTACTTCTGTCTGTTATCTTATCTCTTGACGATTGCTAATTACCCGCAGTTTTCTTCCTCGAAAAACTACCAAAGTGCAATGACCTTGCGCGGCTGCGGTGACCCCTTATCCAGCCATCGAGGCTAAATGTTACGCCATATCCCAGAGATTACTACCGTTAGCTTAGCCCTCCATTGTGTGAATCAATAACGAGAACTTGTTGTCTCCATTCTCTATACTCGTTCGCAAATGCAACATGTTGCTCATCGAGTCATTTGGTTCGTTTTAAGCGTTTTTTTTTCTGTTGCTAATTACTGTCGAATCACAGTAGATGTTGATGAGGATTTGCCTTTTTAGCTCGTTTTTTCAATCGTTCGCCATCAAGTCATTTCTCGCGGTCAGCACGAAATAGACGCGGGCATTCGGCAGATTCGCCATTTCGTCGAGCGACACCGTTAAGAGCTACTATAGGACCAGGTGAGATCTACAATTTCTCAATTTGCTTTCGTAAATTTCACGCTACAATATTTGCATCTAAACTGGAAATTGATACTCTTTATCATTTACTCGTTATCCATTTTCACCTGTATCTTTCAAACTTGCCCTCTATTTTGATCATTATCATGTTTCGTTATTACTAAGGTACTTCTTTTTCCATATTATGTGCATTTCGCTTTTTTGCATATTCAATATCGTAAAGCTGCTATTCTTAGTATTACGGCGTTGAAACGTACTTTTATGATTCCATGTACTTTCCTTGCATGTTGTCCAGCCTATTTTTAGCTTTTGCTTCTTAAATCAAATATTTTGACAACGTAGAGTTTGCTTCAACCTTGCTTGGAATGGTGGAATTTGCAGTTTTTGAGTTTTTTGCAACATGCGTGCAACTCATTTTGCACTTTCGTTGACTTTTTGTTTATTAATTGACTTTTATTGTCATCAGTGAGATCGATTGTGATTTTATTTTCAATCAACTTTCTCCTCTTGATTTCAATCATAATGTTCACAGTGTCACTGGGATTTTCTCTTTCTTTTGCCTTACGCTTTATCAATGCTTATTTGCGTTTAAATTTCCATTCTTTTCTAAATTTTCCTCGATGTATCTTTGTGTAACGTACAGAATGTTTCGTCCTGTTCCCCTACTTTTCTCATTTTTACTCCCCATTTATACACGAAAAATCAAGAAAATTGTCTTTTGCTCATTTTAACAGCCTTTTTCTCTCCCTTTCCACTCCTGACTTTCTTTTGGAGTTCATCCACCTCTCTCTCTCTTTCCTCCTTTTTTGCTTCCTCTATCCTCTTTCTCTCCTTTCTAAAACAGTTGTGTTTCTCAATCAATGTTGGCCTTGATAGTTGTTACCTTGCGTGTGCCAGCACTTGTCAATTATCAAGATTGGTCATCTTTGGGCACCAAAGATTATTTTGGCGCTGAGTCATTTCCGAGCATCTTGTTGTGCTCAGTGTATAGTAGCTGGCACTGTTCTGATTTCGCTGCACATCTTTCCGTTGAATTCATTTGTTTTCATAATTCGAACTCGTTTTGTCCATTTTAGGCTTAGCAGTTGACAAATTTCTCTATATTTCTTTCTTTTCGAAATTGTTTTTTTTTTCAGCTTTTTATGCTTCAAAATACCTCATTTTGTCCATTTCACTACTCTCATTTTTTTTCGTAAAATTCTTAGTCTGCTCTTCTTGCCCCCTTCTTCATAGGCATTTTTAGGAACTATGTTGGGTCCCGGCCACCCGCCTCTGCCTCCGATGCCTCCGGAGGATCAGCTGGCGACTATGTTTGATCAAGTCTTGGTAGGTTCATTCTGATCCTTTTCAATTTCTCAATAGATCTTTTCATAAGAAAGAACGTTTGCGAAGAGATATGTTTGCTATATAAGCTTTGGAAGCACTACACTAGAAACAGTCCTGCTCATATTCAAATTTGGCGTTTCCAATCTTTGACCTCAAAAGATTTTGACATATTTTTTCCGTGCAAATTTGTTTGTGCAAAGATGTTTTTTTGTGTGCAGAAGATAAGTGTGCCGAGTCTTGTTCGCGCAAAAACCACTTGAGCTCCTTGACATTGCCCGGAGTTTCCAAAATGGAAGTGCTCCTTTTTCGAGGACTCGTTGTGCGAGAAAAGATTTCGAAGTTCTGGAGATTTCGAGTAGTTGCAAAAGAGGTTCACAAGGCAGGATTTGCATCGTAGTTTTCAGAAAAAAATTTTGCCTCACCTGTATGTGTGGATTTGGTTATGTTGTATAAAGATAAAGTGTGTTTATAGAAGAGGAAATGAACATAAAATGTCTTCCGCCTCCCGCGCCTGGTTTTTTAGCATTTAAAGTCGCTTTTCAATTCGACCTCATCGCTCATTAAATGTTTTCTAATAGAGCTGAAGATGTTCTATGGCCCGATTCTGTTTGTTCCTAGTAAAATGAACCAATCCATCTTTTGCGCCGAAAACAGCCGTCCGATCGTGGTTAATGCGCCCTGAAGCTGTCTGTTGACCATTGCATGAATCGGCGCCATGGTCATTATTACGCTGCTAAGCCTGAAAAATATTGGGATTTGGTCCGAAAGGTTGTTCTCGGGGATAAGGAACTGTCCATTCGTTGTATGGGGAATTTTGAACCATGTTTGGAGAAAAAGAGAAGTTTTGCATCCCATTTTTAGAGGGATTATGCCTATACACAGGTTGTGAACTTCCTCAAGAAACAAATTTTCCAGCAAAGGGCTACTCATAAGCCCATCTTAAGGTTTTCGAATCGTCCCATTGTGTGATTACACCATGAAAATTGAAAACTTGAATATATTGAAAACATGTGCTATTTTCTATTTCCATGTTGTTTGTTTTAGAAACAAATGGATTTACCAGTCGATAAAATGCGTATATTAAAAGAATATAACAACGAGAAGAAATGGAAAGTTGTTGTCGATAGTGTGAGTTTCCCTTCCCCATGAATTTTGCAATTTTTCATAGACCTCTTTCTTTTCAGCAAGGTATGAATGCACACGTGGATCCCGCCAGCTATCTGACAAAGCTGTCGTATTTCCTTGATAAGAAAACCCTAAAGAAAAATAAGAAAGTTCTTGGAGATGAGACATCAACAGCTGTTTTGAAACATATTGAAATCTCATTAAGAACGAATAGCGTGGAGTATGTTTTTCTTGATTTTTTATTTTAACTTCGAAGTGAAGGGTGGCTTTTCAGTTGGGTCATCCAATTTCTGAATCCACCAAATAATGGATTGCAAGTACTCGTAGAATATATGAACCAGCTATTATTGGAAGCATCTGCACAGACGTGAGTTTCCTCGCTTTGGGTAAATTTTCGTTAATTGATTGTCGGCAGTTCAAAAAGGAGGATCCAAATATTTTCCAAATTTGGTGTTTTTTCATCTTCGTTTTTTTTTTGCTTTTTTTTTGAATTCTGGAATCATTGCAGAGGCTCCGATACTCCAACAGGTTCATCTGTGGACTGCACTGACCATGTGATACCATCAAGCTCATCGGGATCAACGAGCGGATCCATTTTTAGAAAGAGTGAGGTTTTGTCACAATTTTCCAGTAAATAAATCGCGCACTAGACTTACCTTTACTAAAGTCTGGTAACATTGTACCTGGAATTGTATCTCCATTTTTACCCTACTTATCACTTTACCTCCTCGTAGCAAACTCGTCCTTTCCAGATCATACGATAAGCTCCCGAACAACCAAAGTTAGCAAAAATGTTGGTGAATTGGAAGATGATGTACATGTGTGCATTATGTGCCTTAGAGCCATTATGAACAATAAGGTAAGTGAAGATGATCTAGATGAGGTACTGTAGATATACTGTAATTCTTGCAGCGTGGTTTTGAACTTGTATTTGCGGATTCAAGAGCAATATATTGCATTGTACGAAGTATACTGCATCAGAGTTTGAGGTGAGGTTTCTTCATTGCTTCAGTGGGGGAGTGATACCTGATAGAAACGTTTTCCTCGCTGTAATTTCTTTTTTGAAAGTCAAAGTGAATCTTGGTGTAAGTTGTTATTTTTTTTATCAAAGAGTAATAATTAAAGCATAGATAAAAGTTAGTGTTTATGGAGAACATTTTTTTTGCAAAATACAGGGTGTCCCAAAAAAATGTGCCTACAATTTGGTTCAAAATAACTCTCTTGTAACGAAGTGTTTCGAGAAGCTTTAGGTACCGTTTTGTAGAGCGAGGATAAACTTAGATTTACAGTATGGAGCGGATCATTTATCTCTCTTCATTACTGTAGGATTACGGTACGAGCTTCGACAAGGATTTTAGGCCATTGGAGGCTATATTCTGCCTCGGAACAAGACCAAACAAGCCAAAACTCTTATACTACGGTAATAAGAGCCGCTGATTCCGAATTTGAAATTTTCATTCTACTGTGATGCTTCTTTCCAAAGTTTCACCGGTAAATCGTGATAACTCAATTCCCAGCAGTTGTCAGAAATGTAATTACACCGTCAGAAAGGCTGAAAACACCCATAAAAAGTTGTTAGGTGGAATCAGCATGCGCGAAAACCCTGATACACGATTTTTCAGATTTTTTGAAAAAAATTTTATTAGGTGGTATATTTCACATTGGCTCCATATGCTGGAAGTTCTTACCGTAATCCTACAGTAAAGAAAAGCGATCGATGATTCGCTTTATGCTGTAAATCTAAGTTTAACCTCGCTCTACAAAACGGTACCTAAAGCTTCTCGAAAGGCTTTATTACAAGAGAGTTATTAACAATCAAACAGTAGGCACATTTTTTTGGGACACCCTGTATACTAATATAATTTGTGTTTGACTACTGAAAGAACTGTATTTTTGCGAGATTACAGTATCTTGCAACGTAGAAATTTTGTGTAATTTGTTGTCAAGTGATCTACTTAAATTATTCTAGTCCTGTTGCAAATTTGAGGATACAAAATCATAGAACTCACTATTTCAGAACAAAAACATTGGTAATGCAAATGTTATCGTCGATATGCATGGTACAAGGTGGACAAGAGCTTGTCAGTGATGCTTTCGATCAGTTCCGACTGGTAAGACTTTTCTCCATGTTTACCTTTTTTGTTTACCAAATTGGCCAGACAGGTAATTACTGCGAAAGTGTGACATTGTTTGTCCCATGATCTTTTCTTATCAGTTTTATGGTATTTGTCTACATTTGCCGTTTTTAGCGATTTTCGAGTGTTTTGCTTTGAGATTGGGTAATTTCACCCCACGAGTAGTTTTTTTTTTAAACTTTCGTAGTGACCGTAAATTTATTTCGGCTCAAATTAATCACAGTGAAGATGCTATCTATAAAATTGCAATCTGAATAGATTTTATTTTTCGTAGGTTACTCCCCTTCTTTCTCTCTTCCCTTGTTGATGTGAAGATCAGTGCTTTTTCAAATGTTTACAATGCTCGAAAAGACATTTGCACTGAAAATTCACCCCTTGTTTACCTATGCTCCTTTGACCGCTTCATATATAAACAACAAATGGCTCTTCTTCTTCCCCAAACAAATTGCTTGTCCATTTTGAGTCAACTCTCGTCTTTTTCTAGGACTATCGTGAACGACATCGATTCCAGACTCTTATGTACTTCATTAGGAATCCTCCGGGTGAGTTTTAAATGAGTTTCATGAGTTTCATTGTGGGAATAAAAATCAAAATAATTTTTGCAGAATTCCATGTGGAGTTTTTATCGTCAGCTGTGCAATTTCTGGACATATTCTCTTCTGTAGAAGATATGAATCAACGAGTGTATCTACAGTATGAATTACATCTACTGGGCTTAGATGATTACATAGATGTGAGTTCTGGTTTACATATAATACGATTGGTCTACTGTAGAAGTACTATAATGACTGCAGGATCGGTCATTATGTTCAATGTAAGTTGTGCTGAAAGTGCGACTTGCATTATTGCAAAAGTAGAAAATTCACTTTCCGACCTTTTCCGACCTTTTCCGCATACAGTCCGAATCTCACATGTTTTGGTACTATAGCATACTGTAGCATTACTGTAGCACAATTACCCACCCACTTCTCGAATTTTTAGCCCACATTTTGCCGAAGGCTTGTGGCAACTTCAACTTTTATGCGGAATATCACTGAACAAATTATAAGCATAGAGAGAGCAGAGAGCATCAGCAGAGGCATTACTGTGGGATTATCGTAGTAAAAACACTGCTCCACCATCAGTGAACCCACCATAATTGCTTAATAAACATTGCAAAACTAAATTTCTGATGTTGCCAATTTCTCCTTGCAAAGTCGTTTTCGCTTTGCGATTGCGCTAATTGAGCTATTTTCGTTGAGTAATGTGCTAAAAGTGCACTTGGGGTACGGTAGAGATACAATAGAGCGAACTGGTCGAAAGTAGTATAATACAATTAAGACAATTTTTTGTGCATTTTGTTCGCTGTTGTTCAATGGTCCGACGCGTTGAACTTTCCTTGAAACTGGGCAACCATGGCTGATGGATTGCTTTTTTTGACTTCGAATTTGTACTGCTTACGGTAGTGGTACAGTTGCGGAAGTGTACTTTGTGCATGAGAAAATGAAGAAATTATATATGACTTTCTTTCTGCTCTAATTAGGATTAAAAATCCGAATTTTTGCCAGATAATCTTCCAAATATTGATAAATGATAATAAGGAAAGCTAAAAATTGGTCAGTCTTATTCCACAAAGCTCTAGCTGCATTCCTCAATTTTACGGACCTGATTGAAAATGATAACCCTAGGTGCATATCACCATGATTTTACACTAACTCAGGTAGAAAATGATTAAATGCATTCTACCGTAATCTCATAATAAACGTGGCAAAAAATAAGGTTAATTCTGGTGGGATTAATCTCACATGTACTCTAACGTGTCTTACTAACGCTGCTAAAAAGAATAATCCTAGGTGCGGTCCGCAGTAATCTTACACTGACTCTGAGCGCAAAAGAATAAGTTTAGGGGTATTCTACTGTAATCTTATTGTAACGCTGGTACAAAAATTATAACTATGATACGAAAACATTAATTTGCATACTCATGACGTTTGATAGTTTTATTCTAGGAAATGGCAGAATGCCAATCAGATGAGCTCCAAGCCCGAATGTCAGCCTATGCTAGCGGAGAAATGGACGTGGCAGCGCTAGTAGATGATTCGCATCATAAGGCACGGCTACTAGAAGAGTGTGAGCAACTCAGAAGTAAATTGTCACAGGTGAGGGTCTGAGGGCCCAAAAGCATCGCTTATTCCAAGCTGTTCTAATCCGGTGCGAATAAGCCTACGCGTATGATTTAGGCGAATGAGCGCGTACAAGAAGTGGAGGCGAAGTGGATCACTGACAAAGCGGCACTTGATCGTCGATTGTTGGATCTCGTAAGAGAACGAGATCGAATGCAAAAGGAGCATGAAGCTCAAGAAGGCACATGGAAGAAAACAATGAGCGAAAAGGATAAGCTAGCCAGAGAGAAACAAGCCCGTCTTGAACAGAAAATACAGGAATTGGAAGCGATCCAGAAAACTATGCAGGGTAAGCTTAGTCACCCCGGTTCTTATGAATATTACCCTGAGTTTGCTGACCTTCTAGCCGGTCTACAAGTACAGCAACAAGGCAAATCTCCGCCCACACCTCCACCACCCGCACCCGGACCTCATCGCGAGAACGGCGCCCCGTCACCACCAGCCCCGCCTGCACCACCGTCGGGTCTGCTGGCACCCGTGACCGGAGGACCACCAGCACCGCCTCCACCATGTGCAATGTCTAGTAAGTTCTTTGCTGTGTATAGGCGACATCTTCGGGACCAGTTTTGGGTCAAAATTGTGTGAATTTCCATTTTTTTTCTTTTTTTCTGAGTCGGTTCATCATTCAGCAGTAGGGTGCGTGAATTCGTGAACGTTTTTGAACAGTTTTGTTATTTTTAATTTTGACTAGTGAACCAGTAATTGAAGGCGCTAGATTTCATCCGCGCGCTTCGGGGCCACACCGCGGTTTCCCGCTATTTGCAGATTTTTGAATTGAGTTAACGATTCGTTATATATTAGATTTTGATGTTTGTAATTCCTCCCTAAATGTTGATCATAGTCATAGTATATGTGAAACCCTGTAATCATTCTTTATCAGATGGAGTCCCCAAGTTGTCTGGCGCACCTCCACCACCACCTCCTCCACCACCTGGCCTAGGAAAAGCCGGAGGCGCTCCACCGCCACCACCGCCTGGCTTTATGTCGACTCCATCTGGAAATGCAGCGACTATCAAGAAAACCTACCAGACAAGGTAAACTAAATTCGAAAGAATCTTTGCAAAAATATCGATTTCTTGTATCATCTAGGAATAAGCTACCTCAGCTGAATTGGACTGCAATGAAACCGAACCAGGCGAAAAATACCGTTTTTGAAGATCTTAACGATGAAAAGATTATCGACAAATTGGATTTTTCCAAGCTGGAAGAAATGTTCAAATTACAACCTGCTGGTGGTGATGTATCCATGGAAAATGGCAGTCGTCTAGAAGTTGGAGCCATAGCCCCTGGTGTAGGCCAACACAGTCCTGGTTCGACTGGAAGTGGTCCGACAAAGAAGAATACATTGCTGGATACGAAGAGATTGCAGAATGTTGGTGAGTAAAGCGAAAATCCATGAAAGGAAGATTGCACAGGAATGAAAGACGGAATTTATGGTATCTGCCACGCCCATCCCGTCACGCCCACTTTGTGGCTCAAGCCACGCCCATTTTTGATTCTTTCGGAAAAAACCTGTACAATCGCCTATGTTGTGCCTTTTTCTGGACACATCTCATAATTACGAAACCCAGCGTTTCTGCCTAATTTTTTCCTATCAATCAAAGAAAAATCGAATTTTCAGCCATCACAAGACGAAAACTTGCACTAGAACCTCGAGCCATAATGACTGCAGTACATCAAATGGATCTGAATACTCTACCAGCTGACAAAGTAGACATTTTGTCAAGAATTCTACCACATGAAGATGAACGGAAGCTTTATGCTGAACGAGGCGATGATGAAGGTTTAAGTGATGAGGTGAGCCGATCAAACTTATAAGCGTTTTTTTCTGCTCAATTTCTTTCATTTTTTGACATCTATGCATTATTTAGGATCGTTTTATGTCAGCTTTATGTGAGATCGAACGTCTTGAGCATAAATTGAGTGTCATGCGGGTTATGGCTGATTTTGACGAAAGTGCTGCTCTTCTGGAACCGGTAAGCAATTACCCGTTTTTTAAACTTATTTTTCTCTTCCTCATATCTTGGCTACATTTGTCTATCTATAATTCCTTGTAATGTGGGAATTTTCAGCAATTTACCCATGTGACGGCTGCTTCCAAATGTGCTCGTGAAGCTACCCAGTTCCATCGAGTTCTGGAAGTTATCCTAGCTTTCGGAAATTACATGAATAGCGGCAGGAAAGGCAGTGTTTATGGATTCCGCTTGGCCAGCTTGGATTCGGTAGGTTTCCATCATTAAAAAGGAATTTTTGGGTAAAATAAAGTTTATTTGTTTCAGCTTGCGATTTTGAAGTCCCCATCTGATCGTAGCCTCACTTTACTGCATATGGTTGTTGAATCGATAGAACGATCATTTCCTGAGCTGATGAAATTCAGCGAACAACTGAAATTTGTTGACAAAGCTGCTGGCGGTCAGTTTTCGTTTTCTTTCTCTACCTGGCCTCTGAATGTCTAAAAACATGTTTATTCTAGTGCAGTGGGACAGCGTCCTGTCGGATATGAAAGAGCTAGAGTCAGGCTTTGAAATGGCGAGAAAGGAGCGTGCTATGAAAGGAGAGAATTGCCCACCACCATTGGTTAAATTTTTGGATACACACGATGAACGAATGAAACAGCTACAGGAACATGCTAAGCTTGCGCAGGTGTGGTTTTACTTGCCTTTTTTTAATTCAAAAAAAAATTGACATTGCAACTGTGCCATCGTATCAACTGCTCCACCCTTTTCGTATCTTTTGCAAATGCTGCACGGTTTGTTGCGTAATTTACCCATCTTATGAAACATATATGGGTATATAAATAGCAAAGAAATGTTCTAAAAATGCATATCTGAGTATGAAAAATGTCAAATTCTTACAAAATAAGTAATTACAACTTTTCTCATCTCAGAGAACCTACGAAGCTTGCATTGAGTTCTATGGTGAATCGGCGAAGACTATGCCACCCAATGAGTTTTTCTCAAAACTCAGCAAATTTATAGTCAATTTCAATCGTTGTAAACAAGAAAATGACTCTAGAGAAGCGGCTGAAAAGGTGAGCTGAATTTTTTTTTCGCTTGGACCGACTAAGCAAATTTTTGATGCTCTTTCAGCGTCAACGTGATGAAGCCGAACGACGATCGCGTGCAATGTCAAAAACTCAACAGCACGATGGTGTGATCCGCGAATTAGCGGAAAAAATGGGCAATGGAAATGCTGCGAAACGACAACGTGGCAAAATTGATAGTCAACAGATGGGGCATGGAGATTTTGAGAAACTGATGAGTGGTAAGCATATCTTCCTGCTTGTTTTTTGTGGTCGGGATTGAAATCCGGTTCAGTGCATTTTGTGAAAAATATTGATAGCAATTCTGAAGTTTTATATCCAAAAATGGCTGTTAGACGGTGAGTTTTTATAGCTGTGGGCAGAGTCCAGACAAATATGGATGCCTGGGTATTATGTGACAAATGATTGGGAGGCCTTAACTGACTTCTTTCTTGAGGGGCAGCTCATTTGATTCATTGCGGACCGAGAAATTGGCGTCTCAAGTCTCGCCCTACACTACTTTCCACAGAATTTAAGATCGGAAAAGTACGGTACTGGGCGAGACTTTACTGGTGAAGCTCTCGGCTAATTGTATGAGGCGTCGCTTGGGCAGTGGCTTAGTCAAGACACTCCAGGCAGATTCCCATAAATAATAAAATACCAAGTTTACCTGAACGCTGTTTGTGAGCGGTGTTGGGTACTGTAGGTGTACGGTATTTGTGCTGTAGCGCATTTTGAGAATAATGTTTACGTTAATATTAATTTTATAGATAGCTGATATGCATATTCTACTTTTTTTTCTAGGTCTCAAAGAAACCTACGCGGTTTCGCCCTCACCGAATATGCCAACACCGTCACGACGAAAAGTAAGCGCCAGTCCGTCGCCAGCACCACGAGTGGGACCACCGGTGGCTGCGAAGACTCGAGTAGTGGCAGTTGAACGTGACAGACAATGAAAAGAAAGCGAACTTCAAACGGCTTGAGAATAGGTACCACGCCATTGAAATCCAATTTTTGACACATTTTTTAATGTGACACATTAGAAATTTTAATCTTGAATCATCCCTCTCTCACATTTATCCACTTCAATCCCTGCCTCGTTACGGGTCGCCTTGTGACAATACACCAGATAAATTTTCAACTGACAACCTCTGTCTATACTAGTATTACTCGCGTTTGAACTGCATTTTCTCGCCTCAACCCGCTGATGAGGTCTTATGGGCGACATTTAGGTGGCTATACTTAGTGAATAACTCTCCTTTTCTACCCGGTGACTATGCGGCTAAAATAGTTTTTTTTTCTTATCTGCGAATGTAACTTTTATACTACGCAACTCGAAATGTCTTCAAAAAAATCTTTTTGCTTTGCCAGAATTTTTATGTATCAAATACGCAAAAAATATTCTCTCTCCCTTGTGGGGCTGGAAACGTATTCAGTATCACAGTATTACTTCGCCCCCCCCTTTTTTTGCTCGTTCCGCCTTTCTTCCTTTCTTCCTCTTTTGCGTTTTATGCATCCCTTCAATCAATATGTATATAGCTGTAATATTTTAATGTATTTTCTCTCCTCTTTTTTTAGACTCTCGGTACCTGTATGACCACCCAGAAAGTCTTCGTTGACCTCTTGTCATAAGCTTGTTAATGAGAGTATAATAGAGTTTCTTCTTTTCCTACTCGATTATCATCAATAAAACTTGAAGTTCACTACCTGTCTTTCCTTTCTACGCGCAGAGTTTATTTGATAGTAATTGGAGTTATATATGATGACATTACGTACTACGCCATTAAAATCCAATTTGACACATTTTTCAATGTGACACAGAAATTTCAATCTTGAATCATCTCTTTCCCACATAATTTGCGATGAGAAAATTAGCAAGTGTTCCCCGTGATTTGTTACCAGTGTCAAAACGAAATTTCTTCTAATTTTCTCAAAATCAAAGACTTGAGAACTTTCAATCGAAAGGTAAAATTAAAGCAAGATGTGCATCCCTTAGTCTGAGCCGATGTGGCAGAATAGACACGAGTACCACCATCTCTCTAGACAGGCAGTGTTCGATTGTATTAGGCACCGTCCACTCAAGGGTGATGAGATCTCAATGCTGTGTAGTAGCGGGACCCCTGATTGAGCAACCCAAATCTCGCTGCAAAAAATGAATTCAAAACGAGAAAACCGCTTCAGAAGGTAGAAGCGGCCATGGCGTCGTCAACCAATCTGGGGCATTGAAGATGACAAGGGCTTCAAGGTATCGAGGATTGTCATAGATATGCCCTTCACTATAATCATCAACTTCGCAAATTTTTTGTCTACCTTGAAGCCCAATTCGGGCATGCAGTAGGCTACCCACGTTGATGGGCTGAGCCAGTGTGGGCGTTTCCATCACATCTGGAGCGGCTTTCTTGCTTTGGAATCCATATTGTGCAGCGAGATTTGGGCAGTTACCTAGTCAGGGGCTCCATTATATAAGTCAAAATCTCTTGTGCTTTTAATGAGCGTGAGTATGAGGTTGAAAACGAATGGAGTGATGGGAGGAGGCGCAGCCAGCTGGATAGATCAAGGTTCGATCCTTGCTCCTAAGCGTATCAAACTTTGCTTTCTAGCGATGGTTTTTTGGTAATCAACTGACCAGAACTTTCAAAAGAATAACACATATGGAATAGCTTTCATCTTGCACACACTGTAGCTCCTAACTTGGGTGGAACAAACGCTTTGCGGCGTATTAATCTTGACGAAATTGTTGGGACCTTGTAGCCTTGTTCAAAATAATTTTCGCGAGAACGGGCGGTGATTTTTATCATTTGTTCTAACTTACTTCCATGAAAGGTTATTTTTCATCGCGCCGCGACGAAAAAATCGCAATGAATCTGTCACATGCTTAGAGCACAACAAAAATTGTTTTTTTTTTGTAAATTTTTTCAGCTGCAGTTCTACAGAGACAGAAGACAGGAGTTTTTGAAACATCAGTCAAAAATGAGAGTGATTTCTTGCGTTTTTCCCGTTGCGGCGATTCACTAAAAATCCTTCCAATGGAATTAATTTCAGAACATTTGACGGTTTTGAAATCCTTGTGCCAACGGCTTCCCAAATATCATCTTCAGATCTTTTGAAGTGCACTTCAAGTTACGGGATCCCGAGTTCCGTCAAGATTACTATTCCTAGCCCGTCATTTCCACCCGAGTTAAGGGCTCTGCTGTAGATGAAGGTAAGAGTCAAGCACTGCCCCTATTTGCCCATACCATAAACGCTGCTTCAAATCACCATCAAACTACGGAATTAGAAGTCAGCCAAAATTACATTTGTCTCATTTTTAGCTTACAGTGGTTGTGCTTGCCGCAACTATTGGCAAACGAAAGAAGACGGGTCCAGCTCTAATCGCTTCTACGAAGACTACGAGATTTTGGCTATCGAACTATGTATAATTATGTATTAACTATGTATAATTAACTTAATAGTTAATAATTATACATAGTTAATTAATTAATTAACTATGTATAATTCGTTTGCTAAAGTTCTCTTTGAAGGTAAGACAATGAGAAGTGGCACAACCCCAGAAAAGATGTAGCTGCCACACTTCAAGGGTTGTGCCGCACCCCATTAACTTACTTCTAAAGCATATCCTTACCGCTGCCAGACCTTCCTCTCTACGCGGGGAATTTCGTTCAGAATCGTTTCTCCTAGGAAAAGGTATAGCTGTTTTCCTTTACCTATGCAAGTGGAAAATACTGCAGAAATATTGGGTTACGGCAACATGCTAAGTCTTCGCTGGCCGCGAGAAAAAATAGTTTCGATGGCTCAAACCAAACTTTCACAAGAGTGATTTGTACCTGACTGGTCTCCTCTATTCTGAGTTATTGAAAGCGAAAAATGGGAGAGACGAGATTTTGCCTTGCTCTCAGTTACATAGTTTAGAAGTTAATCAAAGTGAGATTCCCAATATAAGCAAAGATATAGTAGTTCTTAGTACTGAGTGCAAATCGATGTACTTACCTTTGAAACAAAGTTAACATGTCCGAAAACGACCATCTCATTTGGGTGGCCCAATATCTGGAAACCTTAGAATTCGCTGAAACTTAGCCCTCGGGGCTTATTTGACATGCTAATTACGAAAGTAATGCTCTTAAGCTTTCAAGGCTCTTTTATTATGCTTACTGTACGTATGCGATGGTGGGCCAAAACGTCTATGTGCTGGTATCTTAGCATAGTGCATATCTGACATTGTTAACTAGTACCATGTTATCGTTAACATCAGTACCACCTCGATCACGACCTCTCCCCCATGCCTCTCAATACGACCCCACGTGTGGCATGGCACACCTCATTGACCCTGCTTATAAATCTCACAGATAGGGGCTTCCCGCAAATCAGTCCGTCTAAAGATAAGTCCGATGCAGGACCGCTTCGCTTATGACAAGATTTTAGTGAATAGTTTTAATGGGTATAGGGACTTATCCTGAGGCGGATTCAGCTGGAGACGGAGTTATCTGGATCAAAATAGCGGCCTTATATGTAAGATCTTAAGTATATCTGAAGGAATTCTCAATGAGTTTTAAGCAAGGCAACTCTGCATTCAGGTGAAAGCGCTACCGTTTTCCGATGAATGTAACAATTTACAATCGAATGCCCTGCCCACACGAATTCCTGTCTTGTGAAAATTTGTTCTGTTTAGGAATGATCACTCACTGAGACAATACAGACCATTTAAAATAGATCTGAAGTCTTCAATACCCTCTACGAGCATGCGTACTCTGCTTCATAGTCAGAGACTACTGTATGCGTGCGAGCCTTTTACACTGACTTGCGGGAAAAAGCCGATGACCAAGTCAGTGCTTTTATCCTCCCAGATTACTCTGGAACCAATTTACCAGCACTGGAAGGTTAAATGAAATGGTTGGCCACGAACGGATTGAACCTGGATGCTGGTCATACCGCCGCCTTATACTACTACGCCACTGTCCCCCCATTCAAACCATTTAGAGGTTATAAAGACGGCGAAAATAGTGACTCTAGAGCACAGCACCGGTTTGTAGGAAAATTCGTGCAAATCTTTTGTAGAATGAACCGTGAAAGTCAGATATTTGCCAAACACTCAGCTCCGAATGGCAGCTGCAAAATCATTTCAAAAATGCCTTGAAATGAAGAGAAGCTTTAAGAAGTTCACAACATCGAATTCGTATCACATTTGCGTCCAGTACGTTTTTCTATCACGTTTGCGTTCTATTCAGATTAAACTCATAGTTATGGTTACGAGCTTGACAAGCTCACGTCACTGCCTAGCAGATGTTGAAGGAAGCTAGATGTAAGTTATGAAGTTGTAATAAAACACATTGATAAATCTCTTGACTATTTCGACCAAAATCCGCCAAGAGTGATGTTATTGTGAATTTTTGAAGCACCATGCTGGAGAATTCTACATAATTCACTGCAACTCGCTATCTTTGTGTAAAGATACTTAGGCCCGAATGCACTAACATCCCTGCGGCGAGGGGAGCGACGTCCCCAATGATGTAAAAGTCGTAGCGGCGTCCGCACGCGACCCCTTCATAATGGGGGATGCCGCTCCCCTCGCCGCAGGGATGTTAGTGCATACGGCCCTTATGAGAAGAATGTCCCGTCCTCGTGAACCAGCGGGATACGTTGCGAAAGCGAAACATCGATGGGCCGGTCACATAATGAGAAGAACCGACGGTAGATGGACACTAAAAATATCTGAGTGGATTCCTCGCGAAGCCAAACGTCCTCGAGGAAGACCACCGACGAGATGGGCAGACGTGTTCGCAGAACGGATGGACCAGCTGAGAAATCAGCTGGATACGATTCTTGCCCCTGGAACTCGTGGATGCACCCACCGACGACGACCAAGAAGATCGTGGATGTCCGAAGCGGGGGACAGGGATCAAAAGCGACTTCTGTACGGCCCGCACGTCATGTGAGGACGGGCCATCTAAATATCTAAGTATTCGTGTTTGATCCATTCATGATCGCGTCATAGGTGACGTCGTATTTTTGTGGCGAAATCTACGGGGACTTCGTTTTCGAAAAACTGAAAAAACCACTTCATGCCGAGCCCTGTCTCTAAGTGGCTGATGCAGTAGCTGAGCAGCTCGGTAGGATGAAAATTGATGGAGGGGACGATAAAGAACACGGTTCATCCACGAATATCAGAAATAATTGAATTTCTGTTATATCGAACATCATTGCCCATTCTATCGTCATCATCACCATCAAAATCCTCCTATCATTTTTTCATTATACATTTGAGGATGATCTCACTTATGCTAGACCATGACTAACAGATAGATCTTCATACATCTAATGATGGAATAAAAATAAGCTTTAAAACATAAATTTACACAACAATAAAAGAGCGATGTAATAAAATGAAACAAACGATGAGCTTGAAACATAAAGATTACATAAATCTGCTGCACAACACGTGTTTATTGCTGGCACTTGGGCTGGAGTGGTTGAAATGTGTGTGCCAGGTCCCTGAAAGCAATGCTAACAGGTTCTCTTACGTCAGAAGAAAATTTAAAAAAAAGAAAAACCGTTGACCAGTGAAGAAGAAAAACCGTTAGAAGCACCTGGCAGACAATGAAGACAAGTCCGCGGACATCGTAACTTTGGTCACAAAGGAAGTTTACAGTCTTCAAATCTGCTGAGACTACATCCTGCCTGTAAGAAAGATATGTCAAATACCCATACTCCTGCAGTAAGTATGACTATATCGTGGAATATTCACACTTTTGTACTTTGAGGAAGACTTTGTTCAAAGCATTAACCATTTTAGAGTAAAAGACGTCATAGAAGTTTATTTTTGAGAGGCTTGTGTGACAATGCTAATTAAACAGCTAACATCCATGACAAGTGCTGAAAGAAAATCTTCTGGTATGTATAATAATCAGCATCGCAAAGAATGCACGAAGTTGCAAAGCGGCGCGGCGCGATGCGTGCGGCCGCGAGCGCGCAATTGAGGTGACACCTACACAGTCAATGTCAATTACGTACTCCCTTTCGCATGGAACTACGCACGCGCAACGCAAGGGCCCTGCGTGCGGACCTTTGATCGATGAGGCTTATTTGAATGCTCGAGTCATACGCGCGCGAACATGGCGCGAAACTCATTGTGTTTACAGAAAAGGGAGCACATGATTGACACGGACTGTATAATGAAGCACTTCTCAAAACCATTTTACGAGGCTTGGAGAGGGGGGAGGGTCGCGATGTCGAAGTGGCCGATCGCCATAAACTGCATATCGAGTAAGAGCTTGAAGCGTTGGTCTTCAATCTGGTTTTCTTTTTGCACAACACTTCAAGAGAAGAAGCTTGAGCATATTTTAAAGTCGACAAAGTTGACTAATGGCCGGAATAAAATCAAACCTTAAAAAGAGCAGTGACAAGTGTCTAGATACTTCGCACTGTCTATTGCTCCATTTGAATACAGAAAGGCAGTAACGGTTAATTTTATCCCAGTCACCCATCCATTTTTTCCGCGTAAAAAATGCTCATGACTTCTTCCTCAAAAAGGGTCTGCAAAAAAGAAAACTGAATTTGTAATCAGCGTTCCAAGATCTCACTGATGACTTGCAGTTTGTAGTGATCGCCAACTGACCCTCCCTTGTCAGCTGCACAGCATGCGTACCACACGCAGACGCATTTGGCACTCCTAGAAAACATGTCCAATTCAACTCCGACTTCGTTTCATAGAGTCGACTGGACGGAATCGCCCGAATCGGTATAGGCTTGAACCCATGCGTGCGCGACAGATGCGTGCCAGACACGCTCCCGCGCGTTCACTCAAAGACAATTCCGTGCAGTCAATAATATGAGAATCATAGAAATAGACAATATAAGGAGATATTTTTAACGCATACCTGACGCAGAAACGAGATGCTGGGCAATCCGTTAATGAAACGCTTTCCCTGAGTAGAACAGAGCCTTGGAATAATTGATCACCTAAATAGTGCAGGAGCTATCTGCTACCCTACTTCTATATCTAGAGCAGCCTCGCATACAAGGCTAGTCCCTAACAATGCATATAGCAATCTTTTGCGCATTTCTCTGTGATGTGTCATTCTTCCCTGACCAGTTCGAGGTAATTAGGATAACAGATGCTCTACTTTCCCAAACTGGGGGAGCATTAACGTAATTGAGCAAAAACAACTGGACAGCACTATATGTATTTGCTAAACTAAAGTACAGAACATCAATCAAAATTGCGGAGACGGCGAAGAGTCTTTTTAAACTTTCATTGAAGGAACGTATGAAGGGAAGTGATGTAGATGCTGAACAACAAACAATTGTTTGAACATGAACTGTCAATTACTGAACCTGTTCTGTAATGCGCATTTACACAATTCCCAAAAATTTACTGCAAAGTGCACATAGTTTTACGTAAAAACAGAGTAAAATGAATAAACCAGAAAAATCGTCAAATGAAATCAGTCGCAATGCGCAGATTTGTGGCTTTTGCGACCGATTTCAGAAAATCACAAAAAATTTACCTATACAATTTGATCTAACTTACCTAAATAGCACTTTATGGCAATAACAAGCGAAGAATGACATACGAAGAAGAGAACAATCCGCAGTGCAGCCATATCATGAATATATGCATGTTTGCACACACTTCTTCTTTATGAAGAACGTTTGTGGACGATCGCAGCTATTGTGTTGAAATAACGGATTAACGGAAAGAATTGGTGCTGAATCACCTTTTTTCGAGCAAAAACAGGGAAAATCAACTAAGTGTCAACCAAACCAAGGATTCTACTCTCTGCTGTCTATTCTGCACTTGGAGAAAAGCGTGACGAAAATTCATTGTCAAAGCTTATCTAAAAAGACATACAGATCTTTGTTCGTGAAACGGCGGCCAAATGCGCAATGTTTGGATTTCATCTTAGGTAATAATATAGTATCCCATGAAATTCATTCTCAGGTTCACCTGGCTGTCCCAAAGTCAAATCAGCAATATTCTGGCAGGTGTTTGCATGAATTATGAGTTGAAAATTATATACTCTTCCGATCGAAATCAATCATGACAAAACAAATAAAACTGAAACCTTTCTCTATAAGCCTGAAAGGAAGCTTTTCACCTATGACTACCAATGGTGAAATCGACAAGAGGATGCTGCAAATGTCCTTCTGAAATGTGACTGCTGTAGACAGATGATTGATCTGCTCATTTCGGCCTTGAATCAAAGAACATACCTATCGAAAACTTCCCCCATCACGCTCTTTCTTCCAACTCTGCTCACTTATTTTACCGCACATAAATAATAATAGCAATTTTTATATAATGAAATTTCTTCATTTCTGCTTAAGTTCCTCGCGTAAGTTTAAGATGCGATTATACACATGTACACAGACGTTGGTTACAAGTGTTTTCAATCTAAGCGTCATGGTCGGTGCGGCTCGAATTCTCTCGCTCCGCCTCACTCGACGCATCGCGAACGTGTCTCAACGATTTTCCCAAACTCTCAGTAATTGATGTCTGAAGATGCGGTATTTTCCAGCTTCAAGAGGGAGTACGTATCCGCTGAGGGCGGAGACTTGAGCGAGGCGGTCCGTGAGGACCTAGCCGCGCCAACCATGACACTCAGAATGAAAGCCTTATATAGCGTGTCGGGGGACAGGAACGATAGCTGTCAACTGAGCTTCATGCATATTGTACAGATTTTGCATCTTTCAATTTAGCGCAATTTTTTGTATCACGTCATATTTTGTGTTATTTTATGATCTTTGAGATGAAAAAATCTTCGTAGTCACTTGAATGGAAAGAAAACCTCAATACATAACAAAAACAAACAAAAGACTCAAATGAAGCCCACAACTACTTCAGGCGTTTTCATTCACATGGCGCTGCCATCGTTCCTTCAACCCGCACACTTTTGTAGAAAAGCAATTTGACAAATGTATGGCAGTCCTGCATGCGAAATAGATACAAAATTAAAAAATCGGGATGTTGCCCGTAGAACATGACCCTACACTTGCAAACGAGAGTTTTTGTAATTTCGGTTTGTTTTTTGTTCATCCAACAACGACTTTTGGAATGGTTACCTCAGGTAAATAAATGCACGAGTAGTTTTGCGATAATATGAAAGCGATAACATAGCGTAAGAAAGCAAAGAAAACGCAGATGTGCTATCATTCACCAAATTTAAAGATAAAAACAAGCAAAATGCGATAGATAACGTTACAGCCAAGCAGAAAAAATATATAAACAGCAATCTGATAGGGCCTGCGCTCTCGGATAACATCCCAAACTGAAAAGATGCGCGAGATGTGCATTATCCAGACTCAAGTTTGACTTGTTTAATGTAACAACAAGGACAGGATCATGAATAACTGTCCTTGACAGTAGCTAAAAGGAATAAAAAATAGTAGGAAAATGAAAAAAATAAAAATCTCACGACGCGTTCCAATCGAGCGCCGTCAAGTCTGTGTTGGAAAGATATCCTAGAGAGTGTCCCTGGTCTGAACATTTCCTATCCCTCCCCTGGTTGTGTGTTACTGAGAGATCGATGATATCTGGGCAAGTGTATCCACTCATATCCTAATTTGTCCTTTATAGAGATAGGGAGATATCCTCCATTTTCATATCCTCCTTCCTTCCTTCATCCTCCTCCTCCTTTGAGTGGAGGCTGAAACTGGTAACATTAGTGCAATTCTATTAAATACTTCATTCGATAAAAAAAGTATATAGAGGTACACTAACACTAATCCAAACCCACAACAAGACACAGTATTTGAGATGATTTGCATGTGGAAAAATGAATTTGATGTGTAAACATGAACTAAACTGTACCACAATGTTACTAAACAAAACACAAAACAACATTTTATGAAGGTAAATGTACCATTGATCAGTGTCATCGCCAGGAAGCATGCAGACTCGACGCACTGCGAAATCATTCCTCACGCGAGCGGCTGCGAGAGCGTGATGGCGAATGCGATGGCGAGCGACTACGGGAGCGCGACTGGCGTGGACTATATTTTGGAGATGAACGACGAGGACTACGTGAACGACTTCTCGAACGGCTACGAGGACCAGCGCTCGTATCTTCACGAATGCGAATATACGCTGTTTCTCCCTGAAATAGTGGAAATCATTAAATACACCTCGAAAATATGGTTTCTCAGCACATCATCATGCATACACAGAATTCAGCTGGTTAGCTTACTTGGGGCAAAGCAAACGTCACTGCAAGCTTCCTGCGTCTCTTCACGCAAGAAATCCCTACGTATTTCTTTAGCAGAATTTCTGGCTAAATGAGACGCAGAGAGGCCACAGTGAAGGCAGCCCACAACTGTCACGAACTAATGTTAAATATGGTGCATGCAGAGAAAAGGAATCACTAAAACCAAATCCATAACTATGTTGACTTACCTCGTGCGAACGGAATTTTGTGTCGTCGAGTTTTCGTACTGCATACTTCATGTCGTCGTAGCGCGTAAATTCCGCTACACCGGTTCCATCACGAGCTACATCAGCATAGCATACGTCTCCAGCTTCACGCAGGTGGTCCTAGAAAATTACTTACTTTAGAACCTCAAAGGAAATGAAGTTCAATAAAAACACACCTTCAGGTCTTGCCAAGATCCAGTTGGTGGAAGTCCTTCAACAATGACACGGAAGTTAGAACGGCGAGATGGGGGACCACCACGACGAGGAGCGGGCCAATCCCTTGCATAAGCAGGATTCATTGGACGTCCGCCTGGACCACGTGGTCCAACTCCACGAGTGAACTCGACGCGAATGCGGCAGCCATCAAAATCATAACCATCTCTGCCTCTTACGGCATCTTCGGCGTCACTAAATGAAAAAATTAAGCAGAAGAAAAGACTGTAATAATTTTTCAATTGAACTCACCGATAGTCTTCAAATTCAACAAAAGCATACAACGGTCCACGACCTCCTTTGATGTCGACAAAACGAATTTTACCATATTTAGCAAAGATATCTTCGATATCTTTTTCACGAACATCTGATGGAAGATTGCCAACGTAGATGCGAGTGTCCTCACGGCCCATTCTGAAACAGTGAACACGAATTCGACGGATATTCTGTGCAAGCAAACATAGAAAGAAAAAACGATGAACATAAAGTATGGCAAGAAACGAATGCTGAAGACGGGATGAGCAACGACCCCACCATAAAAACTCATGACAAATGGCTATTTACACGTGTTGGCTTTTTTCGATAAGCAGATGCCAATAACGATCGAAGCGACGAAAAAGAAGTGAATTCTTCAAGCGTGAACAATCACGTTCGCTGACGAACTGTGGAAAAAGAAACATTTGGCAAATAGAAATCGAGAAACGATTTCTTATATGGGAAAACATCTACCAACAAAAAAAAGGACGATACGGCTGCATCTGTTCATCTGAACCTCGCGTAGTGCCGAACAACTGATGTCCATAAAACAGCTTGCAAAACTGCTTATATTATTTTCAAAAACTGAGAACTAATTATTCTCCATGAAGGAGTCTGATATGGCCACCGCTCTGGAAACCATCTGGCTTGATACAACTTGCGTCTATAAACGAACTATCAGACAACTGCATATGGTATCTGGTTCTACAGTCGAATAGATTTTCCGCTTAAAGGCAGCGTCCAGGCAGATCTGGACCTATGGGGCTTTTACGTGGAAAGTACTTTTGGGGCCCTAACTAAGGCACTGCCCAAGCGACAGCTCAGGTAGTGCTCTAATGGCTGAGATATTCCTCTCGAAACTGGCCCCCTCGAACGTATTCGCATGGATTCGTGGCAGTTTCGCGCCAGGATCCACGCTTTGCGCCATGAATCCATGCGAAACACGGTCGCGGGGTCCAGTTTCGAGGGAATATCTCAGCCATTACAGCACTACCTGACCTGCTGCTCGGACAGTGTTTTAGTTAGGGCCTCAAAAGTACTTTCCACGTAAAAGCCCCATAAGTCCAGATCTGCCTAGACGCTGCCTTTAATGCAGTGCTTGCAGGTAGAACGCGGTAAGATTTGCGTGAAAATACAGTCAAGTAGATTTTCCGCTTTATACAGTGTGCTTGCACTGAAGGTGAAATGCGAAGTTTGCGCGTGAACAATAGCTGCGCCTGTGACGCCGACCATTTGCGCGCGCAAAAGGCTGGCATTACTAGCGTGGCTTCTTGTTCACGCGCCAATTGCAAGCATTTCACCTTCAGTGCAAGCACACTATATTAAGCGGAAAATCTACTCGACTGTAGCTACGTCTGTGACGCGCGTCACAGGCGTAGCTATTTTCGCGCAAATTTTACTACATTTTACCTGCACTGCAAGCACATTATATTGAGCGAAATATCTACTCGACTGTACAGGGCAGGGCCCATATAAACCATGATAGTCGTGCCGATTGCCACTGCTCATATTACGTCTGCGAAAACATTAAACTTTCCCTCTTCTTTCTACTGACCCTCTGCTTGATTACTATATTGAAATACAAACATATGTTAGGGTTCGAGAAATGACAATGAAGTTGTACGTGGCGCAACTAGAGAAGTCGACGAAAAAAGCAAAGATAGAGCTAAGATTCCTAGCAAACTTTTTCGCGACATAAAAAGACGAGAAAAGCATAACCAACGATTTTTTCGGTAAAGTGTACAATAAAGCAGAAGTAAGCAACTCAATTTCTGCAACAACTCACTTCATCTCGTGCAGTCCACGCCTTCGACCGGCAACCCGGCGACAGCTAGCGGCAACCTATGGTCGATCTCTATCTATAGTCGCTTCATTTCATATGATCATGTTTGTCGTTGCATACACAGTTCACCTTTGGCGGCCCCATTCTAGATTCGTGGGAGAAACAAGCCATCAGGTAAGTATTTCCAAAGTGTTCTTAACATGTTCTTTCCTTTTTAGTTACTAGTCACCTCAAATCGATGTAATCGATGGGCCCTTTTCATGAAGAGAGAACGTACGAAGAAAGAACGTGAGGCGCCAGCATGAGCGATAGTTATTGCCTGCTAGGTGTTGCGCAGATTCCTATTTCCAAGCTTTATATGAACGCTAAAATGATATACCAAAAAAAATCAAAAGCTTCGGAAGCCTAATATGTCTCACACCTTGATTCTCGATATATTTCACAGCAGAGAGCATATTGCTATAGAATAAGAGATTATTTGAATGACTTATTAACAAACGTAAGTGCAATATGATTACTTACATATATCGCTCATCTTGCCCCCACTCAGACAAATCACCGGAACTTCCGCAGGACAAGCCAAATTTGCAGAAGTTCCGCAGGACTTTGTCACTACTGCGAAAATAAAAACGTTGAAAATCGGAACTTCCGCGGGATTTTCAGCCAAACTGGTTGAAAACCGGAACTTTCGCAGAACCCTTCAAAATCCTGCGGAAATTCCGAAAAACGCCAGAGGTTCCGCAGCACTTTGGCCTGCCAGAACTTCCGCAGGACTTTAAATGTGCTGTCTCTTGATGTTGCCTCGCCACTAGAGTGCATTATCGAACAGCCGTAGTGTAGAGGATAGTAGGTGGGTCTCACAGTTAATAGAGTGAGGTTCAAATCTCGCTTCGGTGTTCTCTTTTGCTTATGGTTGGCATTCTTCGGACTTCCGCAGCACATTTACGGAACTTCCGCAAGTGACCCGGCGGAACTTCCGCAAGCGCTCCGCGAAAGTTCCGGTCATTTGTTCTTTCTGCAGAAAAGCACACTGAGCCGAACTGAATTTGTGAACAGCAATTATGATCCGCAACGAAATGTCATGTAATTCCTGTAGCATATGAAAACACCAAGACACAAAAACCGCAACACATTCGTAGAACATAGCTTCTCCGTATTTGATATCAGTCGGATACATTTAATTATGTGCAAAATACAGCGATAGATGTTAGGAAGAACGAACGTGAATGTGCTCAAAACTGCCATGTGTATGCAAAAGGTCATTCGCGATCGATATCAGAATTCGTGAAGGAAAGGTGCACGTACTGCAGAGCCAGTCAGAGGAAATGTCTGTTTACCTGATGAACAGGTTTCGAAGGTGAGTGCTGATACATACATAGATAGAAAACAGAATGATGAGCTTAAAATGTCTCTTAATGCAATGCACTGCGAATCTTCATGCATTTGAAATCCATAGACGAGACGTTCCATTTTAGCAGGAGGGAAAAGTAAAACGATACTTTCGCCCGAGGGATTCATAGCAATTCTCACCAATCAGAAGAGCTTTGGACATCGAGAACAAGCGAAGACTGTGGTGTTCTAGATATCTTATATATAAAGCTGAATGTCTGTTTGTATGTATGTCTGTATGTATGTATGTACGTATGTTCCGAATAGAAAATTCCATTTCTGGACCGATCCGGACCAAACTTGGCACACATACACTTCGGGCCCCGGCGGGTGTCATAGGCCACTTTTCGTCATCGATCGATGTCGATTTTATCGATTTTTTGCAAAATCTGAGCTACGGAGCTGGGAGTTGGCACAGGGGGGTAATCATGCTGATTACGAATATAATAATGACAGGGCCGGGTGGAGCCGGGTAAGTCAACTAGTATTTAATAATAGGACCGCTGTACTGTCAACAACATTTGCGCGAGAACAGTTACCATGCTCGTATAGAGTGTACGTGAGAATTCCTCCAATGTTTACGAGTAAATGCTGTTGGCAACGAAACACACTAGATACAATAAGCACCGTACTACAGATTCACTTAGTGACTAAAACTTAACACCCTCCTAGTGGCGCTATTCCAAATTAGTTGACCCAAAAAATGAAAATCGCGGATTTTGCTGATACTTCGTCTAGGGAGGTTATTTTGCACTGATTACGAAAATCACACTTATTTTTCATGGTAGTGCCATCTGGTGGAGTTACGGTAAGATTGCGGTAGGTAGTCAGAATATTCGCCCCAAACTTCGTCTAGGGGATTATTAGGCAAGCTGAACATGAATATCAAATTCGTACGGTATCGCCATTTTTTCGGTTTACGGTTGGTATACGGTAGACGGTTGAGAATCCCGAATTTACTCAAAACTTTGCCTGACGGGGTGCTTAGAGGCACCGTCCACCCAAAATGCAGGTTGGTGAGATTATGATGGCACACTAGTGTGGGCCCCCACACTAGGCAAACCCCCAAGCTTCGCCGCAAAAGACTTCTTCTGGAGCGAGAAATCCGCTCCGGAAGTAGCAAAGTAGACGGGCGACCATGGCCGCCCCGCCCACTTGCATGCTTTATCTCGCCTGCGCTTGTTGCAGAGGGTTCTCGAAACAGGGATTTTCGGGGGTGGGGTTTCGCGGATTTTCGACTCCATATTTGGAATCAGGGCTTTCAGAAGGCCTGAAGGCGACAAAAACATTGAATTCGAGATTTTGAATGGACGGTGCCTTTAAGCATGCTGGTTGCAAACATCATGCTCGTTCGGTGCAACGATGCCTTAATGTTAGAGTTACGATGAGCTAGAGTGCGTGAAAAAGTAACTTTCTCGCCTTTCAGCCAACGAGTGCAATATACGTGATCAGCGCGTCAGAGAACACCCGTGTACGAAGGTACGAGCAGATCTATGACCTTAACCACCTACTACACCTATCATAATTCCGCGAAAAAGTAAAACTCAAAAAGGAAAACATTAGTAATAATGATGATCAGTAATAAATTATAATTAATAATAGTCAAAATGCAGAAATATACGTAATAACATGCTCAGGAATAGGGAACGCTTTGAGCAGATTCGCTTTTAGCCATCTACCGTACCCAC